AGTTAGATAAACAGATAATCAAGAACAACAAAAACGTATTTTAACGGGTTCTAAATAAAAGAGCCACGAAGAAAAATTTATGTTGTTAGGATCCCAAAATAAGCATCAATTCATGAGGTAACTCTTGTACAACTTATATAATTGAGTCCAAAGTTGTGTAAACATCAATATGGCACTTGCAAGTGTGTATTTAAGTTATAAAAATGGAGAAAAAGATACATCAAATTGAGGGAACCATACTAATTACGCTAGCCTTGTGAAAGTTAGTTGATTCAACAACAACAAAAAAAAGTAAATGTTCTTTTAAGTGGTGACTAATTTTCTTTTAAAAAACGCAAATAAGTTTATATGTGATAGATGATTATGCTTTTTATATATTAAACATGATACCGTGTAGTTTAATTTCACACATTAAACTAAACAATATCTCAAACAGCTTCATCATTAAAACAAATGTCAAAATACTTACGAATTTTGCTTGTATGATTAACGTTATATGTATCTGAGAAGCATCATTCGTTATATCTTTGTAATAAACAAGCACGCATCAAATTTTTCTCTCTACAAATATGACCTCCATAACTCCATTACCATTTTTGCTCTCGATTGTGGAAACTGCAAGTCTGCAATCCGACGATCAATAAAAGACCAAAAAAAGATCTAGATTTAGACCAAAATTCTCATATTCAAGTTTCTGTGAAACGAAAGAGAAAAACGATGACGCGAGTTGTGAAACCGACATTAAACAAACATGTGGATGAATCTATATATAATGACACAATGTTAAGTTGCTGTTTCATAATGATACTCTTTGAATTAAGTGATTATATATATGAACAATGAGTTTTTCTTTTCTTTTCTTTCTTATTCAAATTGATGATTAACATTATTTGGACTTTTCAACTCATGCATACAAAACAAGGAAAAAGAAAAAAAGAACAAGACTAAAAAAGTCATGATTTATACATATCACCAACTGTGGTGACAACGACACAGATGTACAATCTCTGCCTAACTAACAGTCTAACACTAACTTAATAACAAAATTTTATTTAAACTTGGCAAGAACAATAACTTTTGTGTTTTATTTCTACCTATAGACGCAAGAGAAAGGGCAAACAAAAATATGGGTACTTTCAGGTTCATCATTCTAATATATTCGCTTCTACTTTTATGCATCGCATCTTCAAATTCGACCATCATTCCATTTTCCAAAAACAGAAAAATTAGTAAGTCTTTATAATTTGATTTATCTATTAAGTCCAAATATTATATTATGCGTAATCAAAATGAGGTTTATAACTAGTTTTTGATGTGTTACATTATTACATCAATGAAGAAGAAGGTGGGAAGATTCATCATATACACAATGGGAAGAAGATCATCATAATTGGCAGTCGTTCACCTCCTGCAAAAGGCTGGATTTGTTGCCTTGATTAAAAACAAAAAAAAGCTCTGAATTAGTATTTTGTTTTTTTTTTCTTCTAGTTTTTACAAGAAAATCACAACAAAAATAGATCACAACAAGATCTAAAGCTTGAATTAGAGTAGAATTTGCTAATTATTAATTCAGAGGCTTTCGGCCCATTTATATGCTTATACGGAAAATTATGTTATTATTGTAAGTTTTGGGGCTAAAGTGTAATCATTGGAAACTTAAAGATGCTTATTTAAAACCTTCCATTTTGTTTTTTTTTTCTCCTGTGACACTCTTATTCCTCCGCCGTCGCCGTGAAATCTATTGTCGGAGATTTTTTCTCTGCAACTCTTCACGAGTTGAAGAATAATTGACGATTTCGAAGACTACCCAGAACGGCGTTTCACGTTTCAGTGAGTAACTCTCGTCTTATTTCTGGATGTATCAGATTACTTTGTAGACTTTTCTGGATTCGCGAGTCTATGAGTGTAAGACGAACCAATAATTTAATCTCTGATTGTGTTCCTGTGGATTTTATTGGGTATATAATCAGAGAATCGGCCCAATCGGAGAGTTTCAATGATTTTGATTGATATTTTGCTTATACAGATTGGGAGACTGAACATTGAAACCTATCTGAGAATTGAAATTTCCAGAGGTTTTGGATCATCAAATTCAATTCCTTGATTGGTTTCTGTTAGATTGTTTCTTCCAATTTTTAGCAGAAACTGTGTAAAGCTTGTTAATTTTGTGATAGTGAAGTACACATTCTCAAAGGTTCTAACTAATTTGTGTGTGGTTAGTTGTTGTTGTAGTCATTTCATTTGCGAGATGCCATCGAGAATCGCTGAAATCCGGCTTGTAAGTTCGGATCACGAGGTTTACGAACCATGTGATGATTCATTTGCTTTAGTTGATGCATTACTCGCTGATCGAACCAACCTAATAGAGCACAACCCCAAGATTTGTATGGAGATTGGATGCGGAAGCGGGTATGTCATAACTTCGCTTATCCTCCTCCTCAAAAACGAAGTTCCCGGCGTTCATTTTCTAGCCACAGATACTAACCCGATAGCTGCAAGAGTGACAAACGAAACTCTAGAAGCGCACGGAGTCGAAGCTGATGTTATCTGCACGGATATAGCTTCTTGTTTGGAGAAGAGACTCGCTGGCTCAGTCGACGTGATCGTGGTGAATCCGCCTTATGTTCCAACACCGGATTATGAAGTTGGAATGGAAGGTATTGCCTCTGCTTGGGCTGGAGGTGAGAATGGCCGGACTGTTATCGACAAAATCTTGCCTGTCGTTGATCTATTGCTTTCGGAGAAAGGTTGGTTCTACTTAGTGACATTAACTTCGAATTCCCCATCAGAGATTTGTCTGTTGATGAGAAAGAAAGGCTACGCGTCGAGAATCATGGTTCAGAGATCAACAGACGAAGAGAATCTCATTATACTTAAGTTCTGGAGAGACAAGGATCAAGAGATGCTGGACAAGGAGACATCATCATCGTCGTCATTTCTTTCGCAGTTTTCGAGATCTTTATCATCCTTTATTGAGAAACAATGGCGATGATTGATAGCTTTGATTGATCTTCTTCATGAAATTGTACTACTACTACTCTTTGCAGTCTTAACCGTGAATTCTCTAGTGTTCAATTTTATTATGAAAACCCGGTTTTTATGTGTTGGTCAAGCGATAACCGTGATTTGATTTTAATACACGAATGCTCACGTGGCTAAATAAGACTGGACGTTCGTGTAAAATCCATCGACGGCCTGTCATCGTAGACTTGTGACTTGATTTTCCTTAAATGCCCTCGATATTATAAAGACGGTCAAGGGTAGCTTAGGGCAAGTATATATATAAATAGAGGTCAATAAGATCCCCAATTTCCAAAACGCAAAGTCGGTAGCTTTCTCACAGATCGAGAGAAGCGAGCGAGAACGAAAAGCTCTCTCCTTTATAAGCACCTATTTACAAATTCTCTTTTTCCCTCTTCAATCCTCAGATCTCTTCTCTGTATAAAAAGCTTCCACCTACGGTTTCTTTTCGCCGTAATTTTGCCCGGGAAATCTCTCCTAATCGTTCCGGGCTACAAAACCCTAGATTTCGTATCGGAATCCAGATTTGCTCGGTAGCCAAAGGTCCGACCTTTTTTTGATTTTTTTTCCGTTTATGGGTTTTATCAGTCGGACATGATTGTATCTTTTGATTTACCTTTATGATTGGGTTTTTCGATTGTCTTTGTTTGGACGATGATGAAACTAAATCGGCTCTATACCAGTGAAACCCTTTTTGATGAGACAATCTAATCTGATCATATGATCAATGTGTTGTTTCTGTTAAGCATACTTTCTTGTCAGATTGGACAGTCTCGAGTGTGTCTATTATCTTGTCTGAGTCGTGCTTTAGTTGATGATGGATTTGGTTTTGTGATAGGTCGATGGCTGATCAAGAATTGGAAGGGAGTGAGCCAGTGGACCTTACCAAGCATGCTTCGGGGATAGTTCCCACTCTTCAGTGAGTTCTTTTGTAA